AGCAATTCCTTTTCCCCAAAGGGCACCAGGCTCCTGTCTTTTTAAATAGGGGGAAAGATGTACCTGTTACATGACAAGCCAACAACCAGCTCAATTTAAGAAGAAAAATAAAGTGATCAACAGTTTCCGTGTGCAGTTTGGGAAGAGAGAGTGAGCTCTGATAACCTGACATGTTCCTCATTTTCTGCCTGAGGAAGAAATAAAGAGTGTGTATGAGATCTGTCCCTGTTATCAAAGAGGTGATCGCTCCGGCCGTCCCCACTGGTTTCTCGGATCAGCGCTAATGACGTTGGCGCACTCTGAGAAGCCAGCCAGCGTACTGCTCTCGCCGTGCCTGTCAGTGGAACTGTGACAGCTCGACCCGTCCCTCCCCCAGATGGGACCACCCACTGCCCACCACCAAGGCCAACCTGCATCTCCCATCACAAGCTGCTGCCTCAGTGTGTCCTCGACCATGCCCATCAGTTCTGGAGAATTCTGTAAGAGCCTAACTTTGCCAGGATGCCGGGGAGAGGTGGTCAGGGGTGCAGAGGAGTTGCCTGCTGTCCATCAGAGGAGCCTGATGAAGCCACAGTCAGCCCCAGGGGACTCCCAAGGGCAGTCCCACGTGGCCTCCGACCCCGTGGCTCCCCCCACGGACCCGCCCGAGCGCTGGTGGTGGGCAGGCTCTGCTGCATCCAGAGAAAGGCCCAGGACCAGGACTTGGAGAACTTCGCCCTCAGGGAAGTGAGGGCCTGGTCCGATAGAGACCATGAGGCTATCGCCTCCAGGAGGACACCCCGGACACACAGTGTGAGGTTAGAGAAGAAGGGCTGTGTCCTGACCACAGTGAGCCAGGGCAGAGTGTGCGACACCTGAGCAGCTCCAACGGCGGCCCACACGACCTCGGTGCACAGGGCCCACACGACCTCGGTGCACAGGGCCCACACGACCTCAGTGCACAGCGGCCCACACGACCTCGGTGCACAGGGCCCACACGACCTCAGTGCACAGCGGCCCACACGACCTCAGTGCACAGGGCCCACACGACCTCGGTGCACAGCGCCCACACGACCTCGGTGCACAGGGCCCACACGACCTCGGTGCACAGGGCCCACACGACCTCGGTGCACAGGGCTCACACGACCTCGGTGCACAGCGCCCCACAGGACCTCGGTGCACAGGGCTCACACGACCTCGGTGCACAGGGCCCACAGGACCTCGGTGCACAGCGCCCCACAGGACCTCGGTGCACAGGGCCCACAGGACCTCAGTGCACAGGGCCCCGTCAGCTCCCATGAGCAGGGCGCAGCTGTGGCCACCAGCATCAGGCAGTGGCCAGGGAGCGCGGCTTCCGTGCGGCCTGCACCTTCCTCCTCAACTCTCCAACCTGCCGTGTCCCCGCTCCGAAACCAAACAGCCACAAGGACCAACCAACCAGCCGTTGGGGACACAACCGATCCCTTCCTCCCGAACAAAAAGAAATCTGAAAACCCCTTCAATTGGGCCAAAGCAAGGTGGGAATTTCCAAAAGGAATTAAACGAGGAAATAGAATGTTGTAGAAGCAAAGAAGCAGAAGCATTCAAAGACACACAATTCTCATTCCATCTAAAAATAAAATAAAATAATAAATAAAATAAAATGCCCAAGCGAAGGGTCACGGTGTCAGCACGGGCGCAAAGTGCTCTCAGCTGAACTGTGTCCCTGATCAGCAGCGCGATGAAGTCTGCACCCCCGTGCCTCAGAATGGGCTTCATTTGGAAATAGAGTCTTTATAGCTGTGATCGAGTTAACGTGAGGACATTCATGTGGGCCCTAATCCAAGCTGACCGGTGTCCCACCCTTAAGGAGATGAGCATAATTAAGGAGGGGGCATGCATGCCAATAGAGGCCATACATGGGCCAGAAAACTCATATCAAATTTATTGGTAAATCCCCGCCCAAAAGTCCTTAATTTTAGCCCCTGCTGGTGGTGGCCATGGTGACAAAGGAAGGGCTGGGGCAGGGGGTGAAAAGGACCTGAGCAGTGGATGTGGGGCGGCCAGGGTGCGGGGATCAGGGAGGCAGGTCCTGGGGCAGGACAGACCTGCTGACGGGCGGGCTCACCCCCTCACAGCTGACTCGGCTCACGCTCCATCCTTCCTCACAGCTGACTCGGCTCACACTCCATCCTTCCTCGTTGAAAGGGGAAAACCTGGAGTCCTACAGGAAATTAAGTGTGGCATCTTCAGGAGAGAAGTGCCCTAGTTCCCCGCACACGGAGAACAGCTGGGTGCCCTCGCTGCTCCCGTCGCTAATTAGCACACACCGTGGCCTCGGCGTCCCTCCTTCGGGGTAGTTCCGATTTTGCTTCTTCACACATGAAGGGGATTCCCAGGGGCTCTGCTTACCCGACACCGCGCCCCCAGGCAGGAGGACACGCTCCGGGCACAGCATGTGGACACTGCGGATGCCGCGTCGCGAGGACCGCGAGTCCAGCGCCAGAAGCGCCCCGAGAACCCTGGTGCCGTCGAATGCGGCCACGCTCCAGAGCACTGCTGGGCCTGCGTCCAGTGGAGGGCACCCCGGGCACTGGCTGAGCTGTACCCTTGTCTCTGCTTTAAATGGAAACATTCGAATGGGGCTCAAGACAAATATCCCCAGACCAGTCCTTCTGAGATAATAAGGGGTAGGACTGGGTAATGGTTAAACCTGGGGCTTCTCAAGGTGCATATCACGTTATCAGGCATCTTCTCTCCTGAACCTGAATGGTGTGGTTGAATGAAAGCGGCCGCAGGTGTGAGCACGGATTCGCCGCATCCCTACCCCGCTGGCGTGACCCTGACCCGCTGGGGCACCAGGTGACCACAGGAGCCTGGGAGCACGCCCAGATGCCGCCACGGTCTTGCAGACTTAGGTTTGTTTCTCGACTGTAAAGGAGACACATGCTGTCACTGGGTGCAGTCCCAGGCACAGGCTGCTCTGCAGACCCCACCGACCACAGACGCCGTTGCTAGGTCCTGTGCCCTGTCTGCCTCCCGCCTCCTCTCTGTCCCCCAAGCATGCTGGTCTGTGGGTGTCAGGGACAGTGTAACGTGATGGTTGTGCAGCAAGCTTCATAACGAGCACTACGTACACTGTCTCACCTCACCTCAAGCACCTGGCAGGTGCAGGAACACCCCCGAGTGAGCCGGGTGTTCATATCCCCACTTCACAGATGTGAGAGCTGAACCTCAGGGACAGAGGTCACAGCTCGTAAATGATGACCCAGCATCTGTGCCCAGATGCCTCCAGTCATTAGCAAAATGGGTAGCACTCCTGACTTCACTGCTTTGGAGAGCATCCCCAGGGGGTGCAGTCGCAGAGTGCCCCTCGCTCCGGGTCTTCTCCCCCACCTCGAACCTCAGCCTTCGCAAGCTACAGGCACACGTGCAATTACTAAAGGCCACGAGTCTGGAGTCTGAGCTCATCCTCTGAAAAGGAGGAGCCCGGGAGGTTGGAAACCACACTTCAAGGCGGGTGGTGTCCCGGGTGCGTCACCGGCTCGTTCTTTACTGAGAGCCCCGAGCACACACGTCTCAGGCAACCCGGGTGCAATGTGACTAAAACACAGTCCCTGTCCCCACGGGCTTCCGGGAGGGACAGAGCTAGTTAGTGGGCGTCACAGCCCAGTGTAGCTGGTCCTGTGAGCAAGGGAACGGAAGTGAGGTGCCAGCAGCCCAACCTGTCCCAGTGGAGACTGTCGGAGCCACGTCCCATCTGTGAGGGCAGAGGTCACAACCCCTCAACATCGTTGGCACCAAGTGGTTCACGGCTCCTGTGAATTTCCCAGGGAGGATGTATGCTCATGTGTTCTCATTTATTAGTTAATTAGAGATACCTGGGTGCAATTCTCAGCGCTTCAGCTAAGATTTTTAGCCAACCTGAAAAATTTTTTCATATACTATTAGGCTGAATACATTAGAAGACCCTTTGGGGACACTGGAGGAAGTCCATGCTGCCACTCCACAGGGCGGACGTCCCTCAGGACGCCTGCCACGTGGCCTCGAGAAACCTCCACGTGTTTATGAAAAGGAACCGAAACATATGTAAATGGCAAAGAAAAGCTTTGCGATTGGTCAAGGCCCCTCTGGCGGATTTCTCTCTGGGGACCAGGGAACGGTTCTGAGTCAGCTCCGTTCAGGAACCTGTTCCAGCCAGGGCCCTCGGGGGCCTGCTCGGGCAAGCTCAGGACCTGTGGGGAAGGTGCCAAGGGTCCGGCAGGCCCTGACCACGCTGAGGAGCACTGGCAAAGCGCGGTGCTGGGCACCTGACATACTCTCCCTCCAGGAGCACGGTGCCCAGCCACAGCCAGAACACTGGTGCCGCCCAGTGGTAACTGCCCAGATCACGGAGCCAGGCACCTGACATAGACTCTCCCTCCAGGAGCACGGTGCCCAGCCACAGCCAGAACACTGGTGCCGCCCAGTGGTAACTGCCCAGATCACGGAGCCAGGCACCTGACATAGACTCTCCCTCCAGGAGCACGGTGCCCAGCCACAGCCAGAACACTGGTGCCGCCCAGTGGTAACTGCCCAGATCATGGAGCCGGGCACCTGACATACTCTCCCTCCAGAAGCACGGTGCCCAGCCACAGACAGAACACTGGTGCCGCCCGGTGGTAACGGCCCAGATCACAGAGCCGTGCGTGGCAGAGCTGGGCCTCGCCCACAGGTGCAGGAACCCAGCGGAAGGTCTGCTGAGCCCCCGAGTAGTCAGCGTGCACTGAGCACCATGCAGGACGCCGCCCGGAGCGAGCGAAAGGCACCAGGTTCTCCGGGCCCTGCAGGCGCTTGGATCACGCTGCTCAACGCGAGGCAGCTGCAGGCTGTGGCCTGAAGTGAATGGAGCTGGACGAGCCCCTCCCTAAAGGAGCCCCACCTGCGGGTGGCAGCTGTGCGCCCGAGCCCAGCTTCCTCCTGTATATAAGGAACCTCCAGCGCCCAGCAGCCGGGCTCCGGACGGCCGCGCAGGACTAACGCCGGGGGCTCCTGGTGGCACCATGTGGCTGTGGTCCCTCCTGCTCTCTTTTCCCCTGTCTCTGGCTGTAAGTGGCCTGCATGAGCCCGAGGCACCAGAGCGTGATGGTGAACTGCACTGTGGACCCCAGGGCCTCCGCTTCACTGTCCAACCTCCTGATCTGGGGACAGGGGATCCTCCCGCCCTGATAGTGTGGGGTAAGTCCGCTGACTCCCCTGGCTGCCCCAAGCAATGGCTCACCTCCCCCACCACCTACAAAGCCCTCAGCTTCCTACCTAACACTGTCCCTGTTGCAAACTCTGCAGCCTCTCTATAGGTATGTCACCCCCTCTTGAACCAGGTCTCCTCAGGTTCCTCTCTTGGCAGCTGCCCCTGGGGGTTGTCCTTTCCCTGCGCGGTCACGTTGGTGACTGACCACCTGGGATTCTGCCCCTCCCCCCAGATGACCACGGGCAGCTGTACCAGCTGCAGAATGACTCTGGCTGCGGCACCCAGGTGATGGCAGGCCCTGGCAGCTCCATGGTGTTGGAGGCGTCCTACGGCAGCTGCTATGTCACTGAGCTGGTGAGTAGGATCCTGTCATTAGGAACACGGAACCACCTGGCCCTGCCCAGGCTCACGCCAGGCCCTATCTCTCCAGGGCACCCAGCACGTTATGCCAGTCGGGGTCGAAGGGGCAGATGCAGCTGGTCACAAAACAGTGGAGGAGACCAGGCTGCTCAAGTGTCCCCTGGGTCTCCCAGGTAAGCCCTGGGCCGCTGCTCCCAGCTCTGCACTGGCACCTGACACTGGGGAAGGCTGGTCTGCCCCTCCCCTCGGCCTCCTGAGGACGCCCTCACCTGAGAGTCCTCGGGTGCCCGCGGTGGAAGGGCTCCGCGCTCCCTCTGAGCGCTATCGCCGGCCCCAGGGGTGTGCTTGGCCCAGGGCCCCTCAGGATGGGACTCAGATTGGGCCCAGGACCAGGGGCTCGGGAAGGACATAGAACCCATCAGGGAGGCTCGGCCTGCTGAGAACAGGCTAGCCCCGCCAGGTGGCACCGCGGGGTCCGCCAGCTGGGCTGGGAGCCAGAGGGTGACCCGGGAGCCCCGCTGGGTCATAACAGCTTCCAGCTCGGGGCTCCCTCTGCCACTGGGAACACGGTGTGGATGAGTGATGCTGACGAAGCGCGGTGACGAGGCTGCCCCAGACGGCAGGCCCGCGGGAGGGGCGCGGGTGCCGGCTGCGCATGCGCCTCCCAGGGAGCGCCCCTGCTTCCGCCGACCTCGTTAGATACCTTTCCAAAAAGTACTGATTTCGGGGACTCTTGCCAGGTGACTTAATATCTAATTTCCTGGGACTTAATCTAGTGTGTAATATGGATGTTTCTACTCCAGTGGTCTAGATATTCATGGGAATTTTAATACTTTGTAACACTTATTTTTTTTAAGCCCAGGCTTTGTTACGTAGCTTGAGTTTCTCTCCTTTTCAAAATCGAGCCCCAAACGCTGTAGGTGCTGACCTGTGTGACTCTGTCCCCGAGCGGGACAGACTGCCCTGTCTCCCCTCGCCGGCCGCACAAGAAGACTGCAAGAGGCTGGGCTGCTGCTACAACCCCAGTGGGAAGTCCTGTCACTATGGAAACACAGGTGCGTGACACCTCTGAAACCAGCCAAAGAAAAGTGCCCCTTGACCGGCGACTGAAGCTGGAGGGCTAGTTCCCGCCCTGCCCCCCACCCCGGAAGGCAGATGCTGAACACGACCAACAGCCAGAGGCTGACCCACTCTGGAACCCCTGACCCTCAGTGCTGGAGCGTCCTGCAGCCTCTATTGTCTGTGCTCCAGAAACCAAACGTACAGAAACACTGACCTCTAGAAGCTGAGTCTAGGTGCAAGATGCTCCCTAGGTGACCTGCTCCAGTGGCTGGCGGTCTGGTCGTCTAGAGAGCCTTCCAAAGACTTTCTCTCTGTCCCAAACCATGCTGAGGTTTTCACTGAGTGGGCACAGGCCACACTCTGTTCTAAGCTCTGAAAATAACTGGTAAGTCACACTGCTACCTTGTCACCGCTGTTGCTGTTAACACCGCTGTCACCGCAGCAAGGAGGCTGAACTCTTTGCCTGAGGTTGAACAATAAGTGATGGAGGCAGGATCCAGACCCAGGTGCTGACCCAGAGCCCTGACGAAGCTCTGGGCAGCTGCACCGGCACCAAGTCCCAGCCAGATTGTGACCCTCTCAGGGGGGAGTGGGGGGGCCAGCCAGATCGCCACCTTCTCGGGGGAAGTGGGCAGCAGTAAACTTCCAGCCTTCCTAGCCTTCAGCACAGCCCCCTGCTGTTTCAGTGACCACCCACTGCACCCAGGACGGCCACTTCGCCATCGCCGTGGCCCGGGACGTGACCGCGCCCCCCCTGCTCGTGCGCTCTGTGCACCTGGCCTCCCAGAACAGCAGTGAATGTGACCCGGTGACAGCAACACAAGCCTTTGCCCTGTTCCGGTTCCCCTTCACTGCCTGCGGCACCACGAGGCGGGTGAGAGGCGGGCCCCTCGCTTCGCTCTGAGCTCGGGGAGTCGGGCAGGAACGTGCTGGTGTCGGGGGAGCGGGGATACTTAGCGGCAGGGGCCCACCAGACTCTGCTCGGTGTGGGGACGGCCTTGAGGACAGGGGACAGCGGCCCTGGGCATGGGGCCCAGACCACAGCTGTGCTCCCGGGGGGCCGGCCGGCCCACCCACCCACCCACCCACCAGGTGAGCACAGGAACGGGCTCCGCGTCCCTCTGCCCTGGGAAGGAGCAGGGCCCTCACCTGAGAGGGTGGCAGCTCTCCTGGTCGCCTCACCTGAGCACCCCGACCCCTTCCTTTCCTCGGTCCTCCGGTGCGGTAGTTATGTCCCAGGTTGGTCCCACCTGCCCTGACCCTGCTCATGGAGCAGGAAACAACATCCAGGAACGGGGCCGCTGGGCGCTCCAGCGAAGCAGGCCCTGGGGCAGCGGGAGCGACGAGCCTTCCGCCCGCTCCTGCAGGTCACCGGGGACCAGGCCGTGTATGAAGTCGAGCTGTCCGCAGCCCGGGACGTGAGCACCTGGAGCCGGGGTTCTGTCACCCGTGACAGTATCTTCAGGTAAAGGTCTTCGCTAACCTGACCCTGCAGGACTAGAATGGGTGCCCCTCGGGCCTGAAGCAGGAGCTCAGGGCCACCCTGAGCCCAGGGAACGTCTCCTTGGGACGAGAGGACCTGTGTGCCGCCTCGGCTGTCCCATCTCCTGCCCACGTCCAGGAGCCTGCCTGCATTGACGCCACCACTCGATCTGAGCCTCAGACTCGCCTGGGCTTCTGTTTCATCTAACACTGCCTGCTTCTCCTTTTGGCCTCGTCCCTTCTACCTCCATCGTGTGTGTCGTGGCAAAAGGTGCCCTTCAAGCTATGGGACCGCAATGAGCAAGCTCTTAGTGTCACCGTGTAACCTACAGGGGGGGCCCTTCTCCAGCCTGGTCTCATCACATGGCCTCGGTCCCACCCACCCTTCCCCCACCCAGATCGCCCATCCGCTGTCGTCAGGGGACCTCGGGCTTTCTTGCCTCCATACGCTGTTCTTGGTTGACTGTTCCCTCCCCCGCACCCCCACCCTCTGTGCCTCAGTTCAGTGTCATCTTCCTTCCCATCAAATCCCTGCCAGATCTTCCCTGACTGCCCCTCTACAGAAGCACCTGTTTCTCACGGGCCCGTGTCTGTTTCTTGTGTGTTTTATATGTTCCACTCTTGATAGCGATCCTCCACACGTTGGTCTCACTAGAGCTCCCACAAGGCCAGGACATGCCCACGGTGGCGGCAAACTCACCTCGCACTAGTGCCCCCTCGAGCGCTGAACGTAAGGCGCATGTCCTGCCCACCCCGCTCACGCCGTGTTTCCTGCAGGCTCCGAGTCCGCTGCACCTACGCTGTAAGCAGCAACGCCCTCCCGGTCACCGTCCAGGTCTTCCTCCTCCCGCCGCCCCTTCCTGAGACCCAGCCTGGACCCCTCACTCTGGAACTTCGGGTTGCCAAAGGTAAGACCCTCCCGGCCGGAGCATCCGGATGGCAGTCCGAGTCCTGTTACCAGATGGGGTCTGGACCCAGGGTGGGTCCACCTAGGGCCCACTGGTGGTGCGTGGGTTCATGACCTCGTATAGGAAAAATGTCACAAAGTGAGTCCAGGTGGCGTTTGAGAATGTTTATTAAAGCTGGGGACAGGGAAACAAAGGGAGGGCTTAAGGTAGCAGAAGCAACAGGAGAAAAGTCAGAAAAGGGGGCCTTGGAGACAGGTTCAGGGGTGAGCCAGGGTCAAGCTGCCACTGCTCCCCTCATTGCAAGTCTTGTGGGGGCCCTTAGAGTTTAGGAGAAAAACAGCAAAGATACAAGGTGTGGGTGTGCTCTTGTGGGGGCTCACCTGGCTCCTTTGTCTTAAGGTTTATTTCTCTTTGGCCGGGAGGGGTCCTGGGGGAGGGGTCCTGGGGGAGGGGTCCTGGGGGAGGGGTCCTGGGGGAGGGGTCCTGGGGGAGGGGTCCTGGGGGAGGGGTCCTGGGGGAGGGGTCCTGGGGGAGGGGTCCTGGGGGCTTATTAGCTTTTCAGGTGTGTTCTTCAATACATTGGTTCATCAAAATGTGCATATAGAGGGGCCGGGGGTTATTTTCTGGTTAGTTTCATGTCTAAAGAACATCGCTGAAGAGGAACTGGGACCGAGTGGTTCTGTCCTGGAACGTCCGGAACATGTTAACCTTGGTCAGGGAGGCTAAACCGCCATGCTCATTAGCTGGCTGTAGTTGCTCAGATTGTTTGGCTTTGTTTAGTTATACTGTCTCAGCTTCCTTAATCTGCTTGTCAAGGGATCTCCCAGCTTCACTGTCCCTCTCCTGGGCCAAGACCCTGCCTTGGTCACAGACACTGCAGAGGAGCTGATGGGGTAACGGCCTGTCTAGAGCCTCCTAACGGTCTTTACTGCTTCAACTCACTCTGGCCTCTTGCAGATAAAAACTACAGCTCCTACTACAGTGTTGATGACTACCCGGTGGTCAAGTTACTCCGGGATCCCATTTACGTGGAGGTCTCCATCCGCCACAGAACCGACCCCAACCTCGGGATGCTGCTGCAGTGCTGGGCCACGCCCGGCCCAGACCCTCGGCACCGGCTCCAGTGGGCCCTGCTGGTGAGGGGGTGAGTGCTCCTCCGTGCGCCTGCGGCGGCCCCCCTGGAGCCCGTCCTGACTGGGGATGTCTTTGCTCAGATGCCCCTACACTGGAGACAACTACCAGACCCAGCTGATCCCTGTCCAGGAAGACGCGGGTCTGCCGTTCCCGTCCCACTACCAGCGCTTCAGCATCTCCACCTTCAGCTTTGTGGACTCGGGGGCCAGACGGGCGCTCGGGGGACCGGTATGATGCCTCCTTCCATGCCCCCTGCAGGGCTCTGAACCCCCGACTCCGTTGTTTCCACATCATTCCACTCTGCAGCCAGACTGGCCTTTAAAGTTGGTGCTGGTAGTGCCTCAGAGCAGTCCTGGTACCAATGATGTGAGGGACACCTTTGAACGAGACCCTGGTTCTTAGTGCTACTGTGACATGGGCTTCACTATCAAGACTTTCTCTCACTCTTGACCCCTCTTGGGGGGTGGAGTGCAGTCAGCTCTCACGATGGGGTGCTACACCATGTCCCCAATCTCTTGGCTCCCAGGTGTATCTGCACTGCAGTGTGTCCATCTGCCAGCCTGAGGGGACGCTGTCCTGTGTGACCTGTCCTGTTGCCAGGCGTGAGTATCCAAACTGTCTACCCTAGAGTCTGAGGCTAACCTTTCACCCAGTGTACATCTGGTTCAAACTGGAGGTTCGACCTACTAATGAGGACGCGAAGTACTTTTCTGACACAGTGGAACAGAAGGACAACGTGCTGCAAAATCCCAGGCCTTCTACATGGAAGCTAAAGATCCTCAAGTAAATCTCAGCCTTAGCTTTTTCCATATGGATTCTCATTAAGCCAGGAGTCAAACTGGTGCATGACCTACATATGGCCCAATTAAACACACACACTCTGGTTTCTCTTCAGATTGCTTAAATCTTCCGCCTTTTAACACACACACACACACACACACACACACACACTCTTCCGTCTGGCTAGCTCACAGACGTAGACTTCTACATGCGCTTGAGGGCAGATTGGGCCACTTGGCCTGAAGATCTACAAGTGCACATGATCAAAGGCTTAGAGTACGTACTCGAATTGGTAAAGCCCAAAGCCGTGTGTGTGTGTGTATGTGTGTGTGTGTGTGTGTGTGTGGACTTCCATCTGGTCCACTAACTCTCTAGCCCCTGAGTTCACTGGATTCATGATCCCTGAAGCTGTAAGTCCCTGCTGATTAAAAAACAAAAAGCCCTCTACATTAAGTATTTAATGTCTAACTCATATATAATGTATAAACTTCTATAGAAGTAAAACAACATGACCAAGGTCCTGTAACTGGCAAAAGGCAACGGTTCACATCCAGCTCTGCTGTTAATGGGTCACCAGCTACCTTGGTGTCGCAGCAAAGGCCCTGTCCACGGAACTGAAGCATGGCGGGCAGTTCAGGGACAGTCTACCATCATGGTCTGTCCCCAAACTCTGGTCACACTGAAGTAACAGGCAGATAGTCTGTGTTGCTCAGACTTACGAGGTTTAACCCATTCACATGAGCTCTAAGGCCCGGGGCAGAACGCGACACGTCGAGGGCCCTGGCTCGTGTCAGACTCGCTCCCTAACCCCGAGCCCCAGGTGCAGAACTCGAACAATCCCCAGCTCCCCCTCCCACAGGAAGAAGAAGCTCTGGCTCCTTCCACAACAGTACTGCTAGCATTTCTGGCCAGGGTCCCCTGATCCTACTCCAAGCCACTACGGACGCTTCAGAAAACCTTCGGAAATTCTCGGGTGAGTAGAAGCTTTAACCACCTGCCTGAACCTTCAGTCAAACCAAAGCTACTTCCTCTCCTGTGTCGGCTCCCTCACTTACACAATCGGTGTGGGTCTCAGGCGCCCGGCTCGCTTTTCCTAGAGCTGAAGACTGCTGGTCCCTCAGCATGGAGGCCGCTCGCTAACCTCTCTCCATCCCCAGGTCCCCCCGTAGACGCCCGCGCCCTGTGGGTGGCCAGCCTCTCTGGGACCTTCATCGTTGGAATCTTATTAGTGTCCTACCTGGCTATCAAGAAACGGAGATGAGTTCCTCAGGCCAAATGTGTTAATAAAACTAGATCTCACTCTAAGCCTGTGTCCAGCTTCTCATTTAAAGGCTGATCTCTTTAAATGAGCTTTCTACCTGTCTGCTGTTGGCATCGCATCTTTCCAGCTTGGGGGGGGGGGGGGAGCAAGGGTGTGTTTTATCCAAGAATAAATAGAAACCATGATACCCTTTCTACTTCTACCTTCTGAATATAACATTCAGTAGAATTTTATAGTTTGGTCAACTAACAGTAGACACAAGAACTAAACTCAGGCTGAGCAGAGATTTTACAAGCTCAAGAGATGTGCAAAACAACACTCTTCCACAAGGTCGGACCAAGGCAGGACCAGCCTGAAGCTCTCCGATGTGCTAGACCAGTCTCAAACCTGTGCCCTGGGATCAAGGGGCTGATGGAACCAGGTGGCTGGTTTCATCCCCAGAGTTTGAGTAGGTCTGGGCTGAGCCTTAAGAGCTTGTATTTCTAAGCATATCGCAGGTGATACTGATGTTCCTGTTTCAAACATCATACTTTGAAAACCTGTCTCAAACATTGCCTAAAAGGAGGGACTGGGATTGGATTGGTTCACTGCAGGTGGCTTGATCAGAAGGGGCTTAGTTTTAAAGCAGAGCCAAGTAGTTTCCTAGTTTAGGAGTTCCTAAGGCTGCTGGAAACAGAATTCGCAAGATGAGTGTCCTGCTCCAAGGCCTCCCTGAGGGGCGCTGTTGGCTAACTCGGGGGTAATCTACTTTATCCACCTGGGAGCTCTGGAGGTAACCCTGGTAAGTAAGGTGTCCGCAGTCATCTGCCAGAGGGAACATGTGGTCACTTGACCTGTCAGCAAAGTACAAGGTGATAATCTTGCCTTTAAAGCAGCAGCTTTGTGGTTAAGCCAACCCCACTTCAAACTAGTAAGCAGGGAGCTAGCATTTGCCCACTTGGCAGGGACACTGTGCTCTCCAGGGGGCAGGAATGATCCTAGGTGCTTGATACCACGCCTGAGTCTCATGAGAACCTAATAAGGTGGACATTCATCCCCAATGTCCAGGATCTGGGACAGACAGGTCGAATACCTTACCCTCTAAAATAAAGCAAGTGTGTGGGGCCCTCTTGGTGACATTGATTTGATAAGCCAGTATCACTGGGTCAAACAATGGGAGAGCTGAAATAGGAACTCTTAAGTCCAGAACTGTGCTCTTAAATCCCTACTGTCCTGAAAATCCTCAGCCCTTCATTGGGACTTGCCAGCGGTACAGCCAGCTTGCCAGGTACCCGGAGGCTTGCCTGTCTCCTCACACGGGGAGCTGCGGCCGAGCTAGATGGCGGATGCAGGGCTCAGCCACTGGTGACTTCCACATGCTCAGAGCCACGCATTCCCAAGGGGACGAGCACTGGCCTTTGCACCAAAGTAGTGGCTCACTGGTCACGAGACAACTGAAGCGTAACTGGTTTACCTTGGCAATCTTGAATAAATAAACCATTTTCATTGTGTTTAATACACCTAAATATTCTCCCCTATAACTAACTTGAGACTTTTTGTTTATATCCAGTGTGTTTTGATGGCAAATCTCAATTTCCAGGTTAAATAATTAGCACTGTTACCTTTTTAGGTTTTACAAGACTCGCGATTGAAAAAGATGCACAAACTCAAATCGTTCCCAAGTTTTGTAGTAGTCGAGTAGAACAGCTGTTGTAAAATTAAACAAAAATGCTTGTGTTTGTGCCCTGGCCAGTGGTTAGAGCATCAGTCTGCGGTCCAGAGAGACCCGGGTTCGGTTCCTGCTAAGGGCACGTACCTCGGTTGCAGTTGGGCCCCAGCCCTGGTTGGGTCGTGTGGTGGCACCCACTCGATGTGTTCCTTTCATGTCGATGTTTCTCTCTCTCTCTCTTCCTCACTCTCCCTTCTGCCCTATCTGAACAAAAAATGGAAAAATGTCCTCAGGTTAGGATAAAAATAAAATATGCCTGCCACATTTCAAGTGTTTATCACTGCCTCCGGCTAGAAGCTACTCCAGCTGAGCTCCAGCATGACTCAAGTTCACTCAGTTCAAACACGGATCGGACATGGTATGCGATGGGCATTAGACTACGCACCGGGAATCGAAGTCCAGGGAAGCTGCCCAGCAACTGAGGCAGACAAATAACCAACAGGGGCATTGCCAAGTCACGCCTGCTGCTTTCTGCAGAAATCCCCGTAAGACATGGTCCCAAGTCCTGGCGGACCCAAAGCAAAGCAAGTGCGCCTGGCCGGTGTGCCTCAGCAGTTAGAGTGTCGCCCCTGCACGAACAGTCACAGGTTTGATCCCTGCCCCGTTGGGGTGCGTGAGGGAGGCAACCAATCAATGTGTCTCTCTCACATCGATTTCTCTCTCCCTGCCCCCCTCCCCCCGCCCCCACCTTTCTCTCCTTCCCCTCTCTCCCTCTCCCCCCCCCTCTCTCCCTAACTCTAGAAACCAATGGAAAAAATATCCCTGGGTAAGGATTAACCAAAAAATAAAAAGTAAAATTAAACAAAGCAAGTGGAGCAGGGGGGTGGGGTTCTGTAAATGAAACTGATTTGGAAAGCCAGGTGTCTGGGTCCCGCAGAGGGCCTGGCACTTTGGGTGTTTCCCCAGTGGCTCCTTGTCTTTCTTTTATTTGTTACTTTTTCAGGGGAGGGTCGTAACACTTACACCAAATCTGGATCTAACGAGAGAACCTTCCTGGTGCTGAACTCCTGACCTGGAACCTGCCAGGTTCTCTGCAGCGGGGCCGCTCGGGCCGATTTTGTAATGTCCCCGGAACCGACAGGAGCTAGAGGCTGATTCCACAAACACATTTGACCAGGCAGCTCCTTTCAGACTCTTGAGGCTGTAACACTGCAGAACAGCCCCGTGGATGGAGAGTTTCTGGCTCGGAACCCTGGAACCCTTGTTGGAACTTGGCCTGCTCGCCAGAGAGAAGGAATATTTCCAGAAGTTTTCACAGTGCACCTGTGAATCGAAAAGCCCCAGCCAAAACTACCCCATCGGGGTTGAATCGCTGCTCTGAAGCGAAATACCAGTTGGACCATTAACTTGAATAGCTTATTGTACACATTCGCTTAGCTAAGCTGGAAACTTAACTACTTCTTGGCATTTGCATAACTTGAGCTATTCTCTAGTACCTTCTTATAAAGGACCCAAATTCTTCCCTCCCTTCACCATATCCTAATTTAATAAAACTGATTTCTAGTTAACATCTCTTTGCCTTTTGCCTAAAAGATGATTCAAATCCAACCGGAATCACATAAGTCATTTTTGTATATTTGGGGGGTTTTTTGGGATAAAATTGCTGATTTTGTTTCTTCTTTCGTGTGCCTGCACTGGTTTATCTTGTGTTCTGTGATAGTGTGCCTCCTATTCCGATGCGGCAGCCTGAGATTTCCCCTGAGCACCCTCCCTTTCTCAGGATGAACCCAGGTCCCGTCCCAGGTCCGGGACCCAGATCTAGCGGCACATACCGTCTGCAGCAGTCTGAGAAAGAATGATGCATGCAGCTACCTGGAGCACCTGTGTGTCTGAGCATCTACCCACTCTTGGTAGTTTACCCAGGTACCAATCCACAGGTGAAGAGAGGCTGCCTTCTGTCCGAGGTAGGGCTCTGTTATCTTCAGCATTCGGAGCTGGGGTCCGGCATTCTGATTCCTGGTCACTTGTAAAGTGTCCTGTCCTTGAGTATTTTGTATGCTTTAGACTTAGAATATTCTCTGTCAACATTCTAAGTATTCTTGGTTTTTTTTATTTGTACCTGATGGTGGAAAACCATTTCAGTCTAAGGGGGTATATGGATTTCAACTTGGGGAAAAGTTCTTATTTCGGGTTTACTCTATTCCGCCTTGCTTTCTGGAATTCTTCTTTGGCTATTAGATGACCTGGTTAATGCTTTTATTTTTCACCTTTTGTGTCGCTTTGGGTTTCAACTTCTAAGTCTTGTTCTTTTTAAAAAATATTTCAGCCCTAGCCGGTTTGGCTCAGCGGTTAGAGCGTCGGCCTGTGGTCCTGAGAGACCCGGGTTCGGTTCCCGCTAAGGGCATGTACCTCGGTTGCAGTTTGTCCCCGGCCCTGGTTGGTCGTGCGGGTGGCAGCCACTCGATGTGTCCCTTCACGTCGATGTTTCTCTCTCTCTCTCTCCCTTCCTCTCTCTCCCTCCCACTCTATCTGTACAAAAAATGGAAAAATATCCTCGGGTGAGGATTAATAAATAAATAAATAAATAAATAAATAAATAAATAAAATAAAAAATATTTCAATCATAATTTTAACTTCTGTCCTTTTTATATTGTGTCCTATCGAATGCACTCTCAGAAGGGGAATAACTAGTTTTCACTTCGTTATGGAGTTTACTTACGATCTACTCGAGATAATCCACAGAAATGAGAGCATCACCGAAATATGGTCCCAGCCCTCGGACTCATTTCCAGACGAAATGTTCTTAACTTGCCTCTTCGCGCCCTAGATCTTTCTGTAGTTTGAGCACAGGACTGATTGAGACATAGAAATACTGTACCACTGTTCATTTAAACACAGATCTTGCTTATGCTGCATTTTCTTCTCGGACCTTTTTTCTTTATTGTCAGTATTCTTCACATACCAGTCTCATCCATGCACAGGGAACGGTAAAGAAGCCCTTGGAAGGAAGCTCTGTGCGACGTGGAACTCATAAGCTCTAGAATTTACCACAATTATCAGTGCTCATATTTCTTCCCCATTTCAGTGGAGCTACTTGTTCAAAGTAACACTGGAAAAGTACATGTCTAACACTAAATTCCATCTTCCAGGGGAGCTAACACCCCTCAGTTCCAAGAATCTCTGGCCCCAGGTCAGCTCGTCCACTGCCAGGTGACAGAGGGCAAATCTCCTGGTCATCTGACAAAAACATCAGGTGCTGAACAGCTTCTGATCATTGTTTCACTGTCTTATTGAGTCAGCATACTGATGTTGTATGTACCTGCCAAATGTTCACAGATGTAAATACCTGTCT